AGGCATTTTAATTTGACAAATTATCATCACGAAAATTAGTTTAGAACCGGACATATTGCTCAGACTAGACCAATATAATATATAGCTGTCATACAAATTGACTTTTCAAAATCTAGCAAAAGATACTTGCATACCGTTTTATGCTATAAGAAATGAAACTGTGCATGTGCATGCATTACAGCTTCGGTTCAGTCGAAATTAATTTCAGATTTTTAAAGACATTTATATGAACCCGCTTTAAAATTGAACTTTTGAAAAATATTAAATACAAAAGGCAGGTAACCAGTTTCGGTGCTTACCAGATGAAACGGAACTTATGAATTATGAAAGTCGGGCAGGTCTGCTAGTTGCGACTTAAGTGACCAGTGAGTATCGCAATCATGTTCCTACAGTATTTTCTATAATATTAAAAGTGATTAGGAACTTTGTGAATTTTTGTTCTACCGGTTTGCACATGACTTTTTCAGCTTTGCGTTCCAATAGATGCCCTTGTCCAATTCGTCTTAGAGGCAGTTCATGTCGGTCACATTATCGAATGACAGCCGTACACTATCTCATTACCATAGATGCCTTTGTGACTTGCCACCCAGTAGAAAAAAAATTCACTTGATCCTAGCGAATTTCCACAACTGAACTGTTTAACAAGAAAATTCTGACCGATATGCGAACCAAGGTTACTGACTTGATTGCTGCTTGGCTGTCTACATAAATATTAGCTGTGGAATTGTCTGCTGACACATTATAGACTAGCTCCGCAGCTTTCCCAATAGCAAAGACCTTAGATGGAAAGATACTACAGTGGTCCATCAGCTTAAGACGTTGCCTTATCCTAACTTAGAACAGTATTACCTGTACAATTCCGCCCTCCTCTGTCGAGCCATTGAAATGCATTCATTTTGTCAAATTTATTTCAGACGCTTTATCTTTGATTTACAACAAACAATATAAAACTTTTTTTTTATTATTTATATTTTTTAATAACACTGATTGACCATATTATTCTTATAAAAACCTCATTTTCAATGATTTATACTATTTGAATATACAAATGTATATATTTTTTTGGCAATTGTATAAATTCAATCATCCACAAAGGTCAAAGTGTCGATGTATCGTTGCGCTTCGGCGCCTTGCCATTGTTCCTAGTAGGCGCTTTTATTTCTGGCACTCTCTTCGCGTAAATAAAATGCATTTGTTTTAAATCAAAGCCATTTGAACATTTCGAAAATAGCACAATGGCGACAATATACTTATAAATACATACTTATGTACACTCATATGATTAAAACTTAAACAAGCCGAAAAACTTTGATTACGTTGAAAAAGATAAGCCTATAGCCATATAGTGTTTATCGCATATAACAGACGTAGATATGTATGTATAGTAGATATGTCAACAGACATGCGTTAATCAACAACATAATTACGGATTGAATAAATAATAACTTTATTTTTGTGATTTCAAATCGGAATAGTCTATTCACGAAGTTACAACTAAAACGCTTGTATCGTTTTACATTTTGTCGAAACCTTATTTACACAGATTTTGCAATGAAGATTTTTTTTATTAAACTGAAATAAACTAATACACTTTTCTATTTCCATGTTCGCCAGGGAAACTCAATAGACCAAGAGCGTAATGTACCCATATTATTTTCTCTTCACCTACTAGCAGAAACTGATATTAGTCGTCTCAACAAATTTGTGGCAGGCTCAAAGCGCTTTGTCGTTTTGTAAGGATCTTATAATCCATTATATAGGAACGAGTTTATGGGTGCCACAACGAACCAGCGATCTACGCTATTCTGCTTCTTAGCTTCATAGGATCAATCTTTTAACTTTACTTTCAGAACTGAAAGATTTAGAACTGACTTAGTATCTATAGGATCCTATAGGAAGGAGGACGACGTTCTAATCTGTCCAATGGAGACCCTTCTTAGAATCGATCTTTTAACTTTACTTTCAGAACTGGAAGATTTGGAACTGGCTTAGGAACTATACTCTACTGGCACATCCACATTATATGATATTCATCGGCTATCAAAAGTATTTGGCAAAGATATCTCTATAAAAAAATATCTCAGGGTTCTACTCCATTTATTGCAATGTGGATAAAGATAAACTTAAAAATATCTTTAGTTTTCGACAAATATCATTAGAAGTAATTGCTTCCTCAGTCCAAAGTGACTGTAAATGACAAGAATGTGTCTTCAAAAAAGTTGAGGTTTTTTAGCGTCTTCAAATTTTTGAATTTGAATTTTACAGAATTTTGAGATTAATTGATGAGATGTTAAAGTAGAGAAATTTTAAAAATAATCAGCTCATTGTCGGCTGATTTTAACCGAATAAAACGTTGTCTGTAATATTCAGAAAGCTTATTAATTAAAAGTGGGCATGGTTTGAGGGATCACCTTCTTTGAGTATGGAAAATCTAAGTAGCAGCTTCAAGAACTGCTCATGTCTGATCCGACTTTCATAATTCATAAGTTCCCTTAGCTATTCACATGAACTAACTCAATTATACTCGGGTATTTAAACAGTGAATGGAATTTCACCCTACCTTCTAGCATAGGCGCATCTACCGCTGTATTTTGTAACCTATCAACGTAATGTTCATTTCGCTCAATTTATTTATTGCAAATTAAATAATAATTTAAGTAGTCGGGTATGTTCTTTAAGTAGTTTTGCATTTAACAGCCGGTAATTAAGTTATTGCCCGGCTCAGTAGTTAAATGCACTTAAATCAAATGAACCTAACCGAAACTAGTTAATAAGCGATAAGTCAACAATAAAACCAGATAAAACCGACACTCATTGCATTTCATTGACTGCTTAACTGCAAGCGCCATTGTAAAAGTAGTTGTTTGATATGGGTATTCACTTAGACTGAAAAAAAAGACACAATTTTTTCGTAGCCCTCGAAAGGATGCTGATTTACAACGACATGTTTCAAAAGGATTATGAACATTGGATGTTCGGGTTAAAACACTTAAACATAGGCCGAATAATAGTCGTTTAATCTACGAATTAGACCGTCAGGTACAACATAAAACAATTTTTTTATATTCAAAGAGATAGACGCCACTTTAACTGTCGTCCTATGGTATACCAGACTCGAGAGGTTATCAAAACCTTTTTTAGTCGTTACAATTTTTACAATTGAGCTCGTTGTGAATACCATCACAGCACTACGGCATGTTTTTGTATATAAGTAATACGGTAATATTTTTATAGCGTCAATAAAGCTGGCAATAAAACGAATGCGGTTAGCGAATAACATTACCATGTATAAATAGAGAATGCTAAAAACCTAGTTAAATGAGATTTATGAAAAGTGGTTGGAACTAAAAACCTTTAACACAAATTAATAAACTATTTTTATCGTCCACGTGTTTGTATGTATAACGGACTATTTGTTTATAAATATTTATTATCAAGTAATCGTTTGTTTTATATTTTATGTAAGATATGAGAACTAGCTGTAATAAGCCGTTGTTTGCGTCATTGTTTTGCGACAATGGAATGATAAAATGCCATGGATATAGTTTCTATATTTTAATCCAAAGAATGTCCCGTTCTCCGAATAGTGGAAAAGTACAAATGAAATAGCAACACATACTAAATCGAAAAAACTCTGCTTTATATAGACCCAAAGTAGTCCATAACATTATAAGGTATTGTATAAGAAGTTACTGCACTTTATTAAAGGAAAAGGGCTGATGAACTCTGTAGCCACTGAAATATATGTATATGTATGTAATATGAACGCTGCCGAAATGTACGTCTATCTCCCTTCCATTTACGAAGACCAAACTGTCGTAGGAACAGGTTTTTTGTCCAGTTAAATGGTATAAATAACTTTATATAGGAAATAAGTATATATTATATACATAAATATATACATATTTGTATATTTTCAATATGTTTGCTTAGCGGTTTTCATTATCCTGGTCAGTTATATTGCTTACAAGTATTTGGCCAGCTCAATGCCACATTGGGTAAAGATATCTCGTCAAATAAATAGGTTTGTATGTTAGCTACATGCTATAGGAGGGATATTTAATCGGAGACTATAGACAATAACCCGTACCAAATTTCATGATCTCTTCAAATAAAAAAAACTCTTCATACAGGTATATAGTATAGTAGTAGTGGAGGGTTCCGACGAAGGAACAGCTTCTTGAAGAGGAAATTTCAAAACGGTATCTCAAAAAGTTTGCGTATATACAGACAGACAAACAGACATGGCAACATCGACTCAACTCATCGTCCAGATCATTTATAAATATATTTTATAGGATCTCTGACGTTCCTATTGGATGTGGGAAACGTTATATACCCAGTTCAGAATATAAAATTCTGACTACATACCATTCTATGCTGGATAAGTGTTATAAAACATAACGTTTACTTGTAGCTGCGGAAGATGAACAGTTTTCACTACTAACTTTTGTTAGGGTTACCTGTAACATTAGGTTAGTTCTTAATTCGCATCAGATCATATTGGAATATAAAAAAGGTCAAATAATAGACGAACATTTCTGTATATCACTTTCATATTAGTAATTTTTTACAATCCTCATATTAAAGTTTTACTTGTTCTAGTTAAGCTCGCGTCTGCTGCATTCTCATGCCACTTTTATGATTATATGCTACCTTTAAATATATGGGATAGATATATTACACCTTTAAATATATGGGATAGACATATTAAACAGGGTGTTTTCGTCTAACATCAACATTGTGTTTCAGAACAGTCAACCCTCAGCAAGTAATGAAGATTTAGGAGAAAGTTCCTGAAAACAATATTTCATAAATCTGTCAGTCGAATTGAGGTAGCCTTAAACCAGTGGCGCTCTCAATATGAATTATTACAATTAGGAAACTAGTTCTTTCAAACATATTACCGTATTCCAGAAATCTATGAGAAATAAATATTTTAAAAAAGAAAAAAATATCATATTCTACTTAAAATGTCATAGTTATATTCAAAAACTCACCCGAAGGCATAAAACAGCAAAATACGATCATTATAACAGCTGTAGAGGTGAATAGGGCTTTAGCTGAGGTTG